ATGAGTGTTTCCAGCCTGATCTTTGTTTCCATGTGAGTTTCGTGGAGGAACTGCCTTGGGAGGCTTTGCTTTGGTATCTGAGGGAGCAGCAAACCTGTAGTTTGTGCTGCCTCACCTCGTTGCAGGGCAGTAACTTGCCCTTGTTCAATCAGATTCAAGAAAAGCTGGCAAGGCTTGTGAAATATTCTTCTCTCTTCCTAGAGCTACAGTTTGCACAGCCTCTTTGTTGTTGGAAGTGGACAGCTCACCCTGACTGTTGTACCTCTGGACAAGTGCAGAGGACACTGCGAGATGTTCAAGGTGGATCTGGAAGCTGGAGATTTGGGTGAGCAGCTGTGCTGTAATCTGCAGGCTCTGGGAGCTGGGTTTTTCATAGCTGACACCTTAAGGATGCAGTGTGTGCCTGCAGTGAGTATTTGTAGCAAGACAGAAGCATGGTGATTTTGGGCTGGAATTCATGGCCTGGACTACAACTGCATGCCATGAGATGCTGAGTGTAAAGATTGCTAGAACTGAGCTGCAGGGGCTGCACAAGACACAGTGCTGTGCTGGGTGTTACAAACTGAGGGCAGGGGCTCAAAGAGCTTCTGCGTGTCGTCTTCCCTTCGTGGGAAAGGCAAGCAGTCGTTAGGCATGAATTGAACTAATGATGCTTCTTCATTGCATCTCCCAAAGGTTATGCCAGCACGGATTACTGGACGATGAGCTTCGTGGCCAAAGGGACAGAGCCAGCTGTTGTTTGTTATGGAGCTGCTAGCTAAGGACTGTGGCATAGGAAAACAGAGCTACTTCCAGGGCAAGAAGACTTTCAGCTTTGAAGCCAAGGCAACATCTTGAAAATGATAGAGTGGGGCAACTGTGACAGGCAGCTTTGCCACCCTGCATGTTTACAGTGTTAAAAAATGACTGTTGTCCTGACCCTTGAGGTAATTCTTTGCCTTTTCTCAGATGTATTTTTGGAGAAGCTCAAGCTATTTATGACCTTTCCTGTCCCCTCAGGTAAGCTGTGGGCTGGCAGCAAGGGTTTTTTTTTCCAGGAGCAACAGAAGGGTTTCTCAGGATGAGATTAATCTTGTGTCCTTTCTGGATTTATGGCACTTCTGAAACTTCGAGGGGGGGAAGAGGGAACATTGGGAGTGAAGGCTGTGTGTGTGACATTTCTGTATACATTCCTCCTGGGGAGGAGGCTTGAAGCCTGCCATGTCAGGCCATCTCTAATAAGGGAATGAATTGACATATCCCACCTCCACCCCATCTCTCACACGTGTGGCTGCGTGCCTCAGCAGTGCGCCCTGCATCGCCAGCCTCAGCTCTGTGCTTCTGGGCTCCCACAAGCACTGCAGCCTCAGTGCAGAGAGCCTCCCTCACCGCACCATTCTTGTACCAAATGAATCAGTTCAGACCTCTGTGATCGCTCTCCTGCAGTTCTCCCTCAGCAGGCTGGAGGTGAGTCAAACTGTGACTCTGCTTTCTTCCCTCGCTTCTTTCCCTACGACAAAAATGCAGGTTTCTGTGAGGTGCTGAGAGTGCAGCAGTGGTTCTGTTTGGAGACGGGGCTGGATGCAGAGAAGCTCTCTGCAAGATCATCTTCTGATTGTGCACCTGAGACGTGGGGGTTGTGTGATTGCTTTCATATATCCCTTGCTTTGAGGCACTGCCTGTGTTCCCAGCCCAGGCTACCTGTGGGAGCACCACAAATTTTCCATGTCCCTAGCTTTTTTTTGTTTTGTTTTGTTTTGGCATCAATTTCTTCCAGACCTGAAACTTTGTCTTCAGAATGAATGTTGGTTTTTCCTGAGTCTGTTCCAAGCTGCCTTCGCATGCTTCCTGTTGCTTGAGCAACTGCTTTATCCAGTGCCCTGAGAGAGGCTTGGTTTCAGTGTTTGCAGGCTGCGGATGCTGCTGTCCCTTCCAAGTTTGATCCTTTGGGTCTGTTCCTGCTGCTGAAGATCATTTACAGATGTGTCAGGCTGAACTCATAGGCCAGGGCTGGGGTTCAGGACATACTCTCACACTTGTTAATATGGAATTGGGAGGGGTTTTGTTTGAAAGCAAGTTAACTCCGTTCTCAGGAGCAAGAACCTTTTCCTCTGTAAATATTTTAGATATACTTAAAGTGATAGATTGGAAAAATGTCTGCCCAGCCTTTGTTTTTGAACAAGAGCAGGCACATGGGAGCAAATGTCTTACTAATCTCATTAAGGGCTGACGGCAGCTGCCAAGTGGGATGACCACGTCTGGCTCCTGCACAAGGACAAGGCAGAGGACGGTTCCTGCTCCAAAGAATGTAGCCTGAGAGAATTTAGTCTGCATCACAAACATTTCTGTGCATAACCCTTGTTTTTCCTCCTGTAAGCTAACGAGAACAACCCCAGCACTTGTGTTAGTCGGAGAGTTTGGCCTTTCACACTGGACCAATGTGCTCCAGGTCCAATAGAACTGAAGGAGGCTGACTCTGAACAGAAAAAGGCTAATTTAATTTGTAGTAAAACATTAAAGGGAATCGGATTAACCAGACTACTGTTAATATTGTTGATGCTTGGGGTGTGTTTTACCCTTGTGACACAACATGCAATCTTGTACATGCCAGCACACACACACACACACACACACACACCACCCCTCTCCCTCTTCTTAAAGCCTGGATCTTAGTTAATGGAAATTCAGGAGCTCAGTGATGCTGGAATTAGGGCCCATGGAGTGACTGTTGCTATTTACGCTTTTGGCAGCTTCTCAAGTCAAATTCAAAGGCTGACAAGGTTACCTCACCTCTCCCTGTTTTTGTACCTGGTCCATTTCTGTAACACACGGGTTGGAGGTGCCCGTGGAAAGGAGCTGCTGGGCCCATTGCTGCTGGGATGGAGGGCGATCCGGTGATGCTGCTGCTTCTAAGCACCCTTGAATGAAGCTTCTAAAAGAGCTGCAGAGACAATGAGCGTCTGTGAGGTGCCTGCATTTGGAGTGTCACACTTGTGGCTGTCTGGATCCTTTGGGAAAAAGCAGAGAAAATGGATCTATTTATGTTGCTGTTTACACTGGGGGAAGGGGGGACCCTAGGGTAAGTTTGTGCCTACTTAGCAAAAGTGCTCTCACGTGTTGCTTCCCCACTGCTCAGTGTTACAGCTGGTTGGCCAGGAGATGGTGGATCTGGACTTGTTGGCAGATTAGCTTTCCAAGTGCATTTTATGGTCTCTGCATAAAGTTTCCAGATCTGTGTCTAGGTGATACATTGCATATGTCCCAACCTTACTCCCTTTGGAGTTTACATCATTTGTTTTTAAACTTCCACTATATTTTCTCTTCCTTTTCCAAGAGCTGTAAGGAATTAGCTGCTAAGCAGAAACAGGAGGGCAATTCTCTTGCTGATAAAGAGCTGATTTTGGCCACGGCTGCTGCCGAGTGCAGAGCCTCAATCTGTAGTGCAGCTTCTCGAGTAGCTGCTGTTGTCAGCTGCCAGAGGAGCAGTGCTAACACCTTCCACATTGCAGCACAGGCAGGGAGCCGGGTACCAACAACTCGGAGGTGAGGCCAAAGTGGCAAAATTCAGATGGCCAAAAAGAGGTTTGGATACCTTGGCTGTGTGGCTGCAACTGAGCCCCGGCCATCTTCCATATCTGGGGCTCTGGCTTCACAGAACCTCACCTCATCTATAGAGCAGGCAGCTCCTAGCGAGCTGCTGAGCCTGGTGCAGAAGTGAGGGGAATGCATCTGCTTTCCCAGCTGTCAAGAGATTGCAGCAACAAATGTGGTTGGATGTCTGTCGTGGTCTCTCTTGCCTATAGCTTTGTTTTGGCACCTGTGCACCCTGTTTTGGGTAACAGCCCACTTCCCATCCTGGCCAGCCCGGCGGGGTGCTCAGTAAATGTGTGCATCCTTATTCTTAACATTTCCGTGCTCTTTGCCTGTGAGCTGGTAGAGAAGGGACTTGTATTCACCTGACATCCCTGAGGTTGCAAAGCTTCTCCGAAGTCACGCCAGCCACTGAGAACCTTGTGGGCAGAAGTGTGGAAGGGTCGTTTCTCTGCTCCTCGAGGTGGAGAGGTGGGATGCTGGACCTCGGGATGGTTGTGCTTTAAAGCTGGTTTCCAAAAGCAGGGTCATTGACCATTGCTCTGAGTGCTGAACTCAAGGAGTGTTGTTTCCCTTCGGTACCAGGAAATCAGCATCACTTCTAGGGGCCAAGCTGACAGTTTCTGTTGATTGTTTTCTGTCTCTCTCTGCTGATCCCAGCATCCAGCTGCCTTTGCAGCACCCTGGAGAACTTTCTAGGCTCAGGTTTCCTGGGCCTTTGGCTTCTCTTGCTGCAAGGATCTGGCAGGGAGGCTGGTTGTACTGCAGGGAGCTGGGCTGGCTCAGAGCACCTCCCTTCTCTCCCTGGTTTTGTAGCAGCAAGCCCAGCTCACGGCGTGGGAACTCCCTAAGTGAGAAGAGGTGTCCTCTTTGCAAATTCTGTTTGTAGAGCCGTGTGTTTTCCCCTTCAGGAAACTGAATCTCATAAAGCACAGGTTTCATGTCCTGCTGAGTTAAATAAGGGAGATGCTGGTCTTCCCCTTGGCTTTGAAGATTCAAACCAATGGTAGGTGATTTATTCTTTGTGCTGTCGCTTTGTAGGGAGGGGGAGGCAATATAAAGGCTCAGGGGTGCAGGGAAGTAAAGCTATACATGCATAAAGACTGTTTCAGTGCTGAACATTATAAATTCAGTGGTGGATTAAAAGAAAAAGAATGTAAATATGCAATTAATGCAGAATTTTATGGATGGTCATAATTTAATATATTGAGAACTCTGTAAATACTTGGGAAAAAAAAAAGTCTGTAAAGTGTGTAAATAAATGAGATTTGTATGTAAAGAAGAATAAAAAGAAAAGTTTTTACTTTTTGCAATGAAATGCAGTGTTACTGCACCTCTCCCCCTTTCCTGATTCTTATTTTCACGTCGTGTCTCAGCCACTGAGGGGTCATTTAAACCTTTTTAGGACACTGTGAAATGTTGGAATGCTTTGGAAAATGTTTTGCCAGTTTGAAGCTGGTTCCCAAAGCAAAGGTGCTGCAATGGCACCGTCTGTCTCTCCTTTCTTCCTACTAACAGTGTCTGTCCTTCCTTCACAATTCAGCTTATTTCAGCCAAGCACTGACAGAAGGGACAGAAGTTGGTAATTTCCAGAGCTGAATAAAGCAGGCAAAGGAGAGAAAGCTCCCGCTGCTACCAGGATAAAGTGCAAGCCTTGGTAGGCACCCAAGAAGCCACGTTGAAGACCTTCAAGACGTGAGTCAGTAGAAAATGAGGCTTTGCTGCCTCTGCAGTGCAGACTTGGGCCTTTTTGGAGCCCGTCAGTGTTGAGCTGAAGCCTTTACACCCTCATCAGGTACCAGCATGGAACTCCTGTCTCATGCCGAGGCTGCTGGCTCCCAGGGGTGCAGCAGACTGCAGTGAGCAGCAGGAAAGCTGCATTCCTCACACACTTACTAATGCCGGCTGGACATGAGTTTGTCAGCTCCAGGGTGGGGCTTGGACCTCGTGCTGTTAATCTCCACGCTTCAGACACTGGCTCCAGAAGGAGCCATTAGGGGAGGTTGGGAGGTTGGGAAATGGTGCTGCACCCCCCCTTCACCAGCAGCCGTGCCTGACCTTGCCAGATGCACTGGCTGTTACTCACGTCTCTCCATGAGCCACGTGCCCTGGTTGTGACTCTTCCAGACCTGTTTTCCCCGAAAGCACTGTGTGTCCCAATTTTTTGTAATCCTCGTTGCTTCAGTAAGGTCTAGTGAGGATGCTGTGGTGCCAGGGGCTGCTTAAGGCTTAGCCCTTCATTTCTGCATCGCTTTGAAAGTACCAGTAGGTTCGCTGAGGTCTTCTCATCACTGCCTTGTTCCTCATCTGCCGAGCTGCGGTGAGCTGGTAGGACTTGGGTCCTGATATTGTTCCTTTCTAGTTGTTTCTCCAGGTCTCCAGAGATGCAGCAGAGCTACTGGAGTGTCTTGTGAAGGAGGTGGGTTTGCCTTGACCCACACTCCAAGCCTGATGTTGACCTTAGCAATAAATGTGAACTGTGGTGAGATGTTAGCTCCAGATCCTGCTTGCAGAAGTTATTGAGCTACTGAAAGCATTTTAGACTCTGGACCTAATAAAGGAGTAGTTAATATGCGGAGGTAAGATCTGATGGGGATGTAGGAGGGCAGTGGAGGCAAGAGAGATGATGAGAGTGGTCTGAAGCAGAAGGACAACAGTAAAGCAGGGCCTGGAGAGCTGGGAAGGGATTGGGGAAGGCAGCACTGACTGTGTGTGATGAACTTAGCTCTGCTAGCCAGAGCTGCCCCCCAGCTGATCCTTCAGAACACTCTGTGACCCCCAGAGGCACCTCCTGGAGTGGAGCTGGAAGGAGGAGGTGAGGGGGTCTCCGCAGGACTCTCTCCAGCACAAGTGGGGCAGCGTGTGGCTGGGGACGCTGATCCTGAGCCCTCCAGGTGTCTGGCTGTGGCTGCAGCACGGTCTGTCCCTGCAGAGCTCATGGTCTGCTACTCCAGACAGACTCAAAGGCAGCTCTTGACTGCTAACTCCCCTTTTGGGGGCAATTTCAGCTCTTGATCTCGTTCTTCCTCCTCATCCTCCTGATGACAGAGGGAAGAGACATCAACCCTCTGCTACCTCTTCTTGGAGGGATGGAGGGGGCAGGAGGCTGCTCCCCACTGCCTGCTGCTTTCCCCTGACACAACCAGTGCACAGAGATAGGAGATGGACAAGGGGAGCTCTTACAGCACTGCAAGCTGTTCTTAGCAGTTGCAGTTGCCTTTATTTCTAGAAGCGCCTCAGTGATCAAGGAACACCCTTGTGTAAAACAGAGCTCTGCATTTATTTCTCAGTTGTTTGGGTTTTATTATCATTGTAGTTCAGGACAAAAGGTGGAAAAGGGACCGCATAACAGATGGTTGAGGTGATGTCTGACGTTTGGAACAGCAGAGACTTACGTGAAAATGCCAGTGCAGGGAATTAGGATTGATGCACAGGGTCTGCCTTGGGGAGCGGACCAAGGGAGCTCTTTGGCACTGTATCCACTTCTGCTTCTCCATCAAGGCTGATATGTGAGATGGGTGTGTTCCATGTGGCTCTGAAACTCCTCTAATAAAGAACTATGTTTCCTCCCCGATCTTCAAGCTGTTGGGTGTTCCTTGCTTTTGGGAGGTGCTTTAAATCTGACTGCCAGAGCTGTGGGCTGCTAAGAGCAGAAGCTGTCGGCACGATGCTGAGCTCAGGTCTTTCTCCTCTTTTCCTGTTGCTCACAGCACTGGAGCTGAGCTGGTCCCTGACTGATGAAGAAAAGAGGATCATCTTGGATGAGCACAATAAATATCGTTCGCAGGTCTCTCCTCCTGCTGTGGATATGCTGAAGATGGTAAGTGGCTTTTATGGCAGGGAATCCCAGAGCGGAATGGTGCAAGGTTTAACCTTAATGCCTGCAGGAATCGGGGTTTTGTCCGGGGGAGGCAGGGCAATAATTGCTTAGAGCTATTGATATCAATGGAGGGGTTCCCCAGATTGCCTCTACAAGGATGTCTCTTTTCATGCGTAGAGTTGACTGATCAGTTTTGGAAGTTCCTGAGCACAGTCTGTGTCTCCTGATGCTCTGTGAGAGCAGAGCAGCTTTCGCTCACGTGAAGCTCATTCAGAAAGGCAGGTGTTGCCCTGAGCTGTGGTGCTGAGCAGGGCTACACAGCAGAGGGGGGATCCTATGCCAGCAGCTGGTGAAGCACCGCTCTGTGTGCTTCATTTACCTTTGCAGGTGATTGGGATCCAAAATTCAAGGGTGACCTCCAGGTTGTTCTGTTGGGGCTTTCCTTCGTGTTCCTGAGCACCACGATTCCCGTAGCAAGATGCAGAAAAGCCAGGGAATTTGGAGCCAAGCTCTTAGGGAAAGAATGAGGGAAACAATTTCCCACATGTCTAAAATGTGGGTCAGGATCCTTAGGTTGGTGGTGATTTGAAGCAGGGAGTGCTGTAGCAGCGGTGGCAGATCGCTTGCTTGGAGACGTTCCCCTCTGCAGGGCTGCATTGTTTCTTCTTTTAATCCAATCTCCTTGAACACATGGGACCTCCTGATGCTGCAGATCAGGAGCACCACAGATGTTTGGTGTCGAGCAGCCCTGACAGTTTCTTGTTAGAGGAGTTCCATGAAAGCCCCATTCTAACTTTCCTCCCCAGGACACAGTGCTGCTTGTGCCTTCCCTGTCTCTGACCTCACCTGCAGCTGCACCACGTTTCTGTTTGGGTCTGGTTGCTGTGGAAATAGTTAGATGATGGGGGGATTCAGAGCCTAAAGCCATTTATTTTAAACTGAGGCAAAAGCTGCAGGTGCAAGCCCACTGTTTATGGAGCCCAGCTCTGTGCCAGAGGGAAACGGTGTGCGTTTCCCAAGCAGAGTTTCCAGCCCGTTGCTCTCAGCCTGGCTTGGGGCCATGGTGGGAGCTCAGCTGGCTCTCTGTCCCCCACCCATTGTGCTTCCCCCACAGTGCTGCTGCTCAGGGGCTGTCCTTGTCCCCTCCACACCCTGATGGCCAAATGCCCTGCAGCAGAGCTGTCTGTGTTCTGTGCCACTTTGCGCCCAGTGCTGGTTCTAGCCAGGAAAGCCCCCTTAGGACCCTCTGTTTGCTGGGCTGCCTTCCAGCCTGCTGCAGAAGCAAAGCTCCATCAAATGGAGCAAGGATGGTCAAAGCAGCTGCAGCACAGGGCTTCCCACTCATCTCCCTGCACTAAAGCCTCTGGAGCCTCAGCTGATGGGGGGCCACTGCTGGAGGGAGCTCTGTGTGTCTGTCTGCGGAGATTTGTCCAGCTCCACTCCTGTCCTCATCCCCGCTCCTGTGTGACCCAGGGTCCTCTTATCCTCTATCAGACTTACAGCTCTCCGTGCTGACATTTCAGGTGCTCCAGGCAAGGCTGAGAATTGTGTTGCTGCTCTGATCTACCCCTGTTTGATACGTTTGGTTTGTGCTGGGACGGACTGAGGAGATCCCTTCCCCCATGCACTCCTCAGAAGGCTCTCAGGGCACCCACATATTGAGTAAGGATTTGAATATGACTTCTGAATGGGAGAATCATGACCAGGCAGCTCAGGAGTCCTTCTTGTTTGTGTCAGAGAGCCCCATGTCCCTCTCCATTTACTGACACTGAGCTCCTTGCAGAGCTGGGACACGGAGCTGGAGGCCTTTGCCCAGGCCTATGCAGAGAAATGCATCTGGGACCACAACAAGGAGAGGGGCCGACGGGGGGAAAACCTCTTTGCTATGGCCCCGATGCTGGATCTGGAATTCGCTGTGGAGGACTGGAATGCGGAGGAGAAATTCTACAACCTGACGACTTCCACGTGTGTCTCCGGGCAGATGTGCGGCCACTACACCCAGGTACCAACCTGCTGGGGCAGGGGGGAAGCTTGGTGGAGAAGGATCTGTATCAGAGCCCTGGGTCCTCCCAGAGTCTTTGCAAAGAGATGGGGAATCTGTGCTGGGCACCAGCCAGGAATCACTGATACAGGGGGACCTGGGCACGGTGCCTTTTGGATAAGACCTCTTTGAAAATAGCTCTGCAGCTGTTTTTTGGCAGTGAAGCAGAGCTGGGTGCCAGCTTGCCTCAGGCAGAGATGAAATCTGAGTGTGTCTTTGCAGTGTGAGTAAGTGGTGGGAGTGGAGAGGAGCGTAGTCAGTGGTGGTGAGTGTCAGGATGGATCTGTGAAGGAGCCCAGGATCGAAACAGAGGTGGTGATGCTATGGAGTAGAAAAGCTATGGTCCTAGGCTGGGGAGGTGCTCCAGACAGATGCAGCTTCCAAGGCCACAGCATGGCCTGTCAACAAGGCGTCTGCCTTCATCATCACCTCACCTTCAACCTGGTCTTTGTCCTAGGTGGTCTGGGCAAGCACGCACCGCATTGGCTGTGGGTCAAAGTTTTGTGAGAAGATTGAAGGAATTGAAACAGAGGACATGTACCTGCTTGTCTGCAACTATTATCCCCCGTAAGTCCCATGCCTCACATGATTTGGTTCATCTTGGTGAGGCATCTGTGCTGGAAATGCCCTGCTATAGTCCCTATAAAATGGCAGGAAAAGCCTTCGGACTTGCTGAAAAATAAAGGCAAAGCAATTTTGAAAAAGATCTTTGTTATCTTGGGTTGGTCGTAAAGGAAGGAAGGGTTGTTTGGTGATCCTTAGCCATGATTGTGATTCCTGCTGTCTGGTTCAGCTCCTGGCACAGACCAGGGAGGGAGGTCCCCCAGGAAACTGCCCAAGGCTGGTGCTGCAGCAGCTGAAAGTACAAACATCTCCTGCTTGCTCTGTGCCTGGTGCTTCCCAATAGAGCAGCGATAGCCTGGTGAGGGGGAACATGTTTTCTACCAGCAGAACGGGGTAAGATGTGGGAGGAAGGGTGGCTGCCTGCCTGTGAAGCCCTGGGATTAACCTCAGGGATCTCTGACTCTGAGATGGAGAGCAACAGCAGATCTTCTTAGCATTGTTCAGCAAAAGGGAGACAAAGGCGTTTCCAAATGCCCAGACTGCTCTTTTGTAAGGGACAGTGAAAGACCATCTCCACAGAACTGTTTCCCTTGGTTTTAGCAGTCTTGGGTTCAGGACATGGATCAAGCTGTGCTGATCCAAGTGTGTGGCAGAAGACACGCTTTAATTCTGAGTTTTGTTTTGGCTGGGATAATCAGACTCCCTCTTGGGGATGGGTGTTTTCTGCCTTGTCCTCACATTTTTTTGGTGTCATGTGCTTTCAGGGGTAACATGAAAGGCAGGAAGCCATACAGGGAAGGACCCTCTTGTTCACAGTGTCCCGAGGACAGAGTCTGTGTCAACTCCTTGTGTGGTAAGTGAAGCAAAGCCATGCATGTGCCTTGTCAGGCTGTTGGGACTGAGACCCCTGGGTTGAGGTCCACGTTCTGAACCTGGACCAGCAGCTTCAGGTCTGGACTAAGAGACATGACATGTGATGGCAGCCCCTGAGAAAGGTCAACTGCCAAAAGATGAGGAGGATCGAACAAGGACCTCAGACCTCCCATAGCCAGTGGTTATTGCTCCATGAGGATGCCCCGTTCTTAAGGGGAAGGAGGTTGTGCAAAGGAGATGAGATTTCTCAGTGTTGGGAATTCTAAAGTGGGAGATGGCCCAGAGTGACCTAAGCAGCCTCTGGCTGCTCCTTCTACGCGCTGTTGACTTTTGCTGGCCCTGATCAGTTGAGGCCAGCTGACCCCTGTGCTAACCCATGGCACTTTTCATCTCTTACCAGAACCCACTATAGAAGAGACCACTCCACCCTCTGTGACAACAAAGGCAAGCCCATCCACCCCAGTCACACCAGAACGCACCACACCAGCACCCACCACAGTCACGGCCAAACCAGAACCCACAACCATGCCCTCAGCCACCACAACAGTAGCCAGCACAGCCAAGGCAGAGCCAAAACCTGCTACAACCAAGCCATCATACACCACACCGGTACTCACTACTGCTACATCCAAGCCAAAACCCACCATGCTAACAACCACCACTACAGCCAAGCCAGCACCCAGCACAACAAAACCAACAACCACCACACCAGAACCCACCACCACCACAGCAAAACCCACAACAACCACCACTACAACCAGCACTACGGCCAAACCAGCACCCAGCACACCAAAACCAGCACCCACCACACCAAAACCAGCACCCACCACACCAAAACCAGCAACCACCACACCAGAACCCACCACCACCACGGCAAAACCCACCACAACCACCACTACAGCCAAGCCAGCACCCAGCACACCAAAACCAACAACCACCACACCAGAACCCACAACAACCACCACCACAACCACCACTATGGCCAAGCCAGCATCCACTACACCAAAACCCACAACAACCACTACAACCAAGTCAGCACCTACTATGCCAAAACCCACAACCACCACTGCAGCCAAGCCAGCACCCGCCACACCAGAACCCACCACCACTGTGCCAGAACCCACAACAACCACTACAATCAAGCCAGCACCCACCACAACAACACCTGCAATCACCACGCCAAAACCAACCACCACTACAACCAAGCCAACACCAACCACGCCAAAACCAACCACCACTACAACCAAGCCAACACCAACCACACCAAAACCCACCACCATCACTACAACCAAGCCAACACCCACTATGCCAAAGCTCACAGCCATCACTACAGTAAAGCCAAAACCTGTTACAGCCAAACCAACAGCCACCACACCAACATTTACCACCACTACAGCCAAGCCAACATCCACTGCTATAACATCAGCAAAGCCAGAATCCACCACCACAACAAAGACAGAACACACCAAAACTGAACGTCCCGATTATATTGCAACAACTGGGTTAACACTTTCCTTTGAGCCCACTTTAGACTTGGATTATAAAGCATCTCCAGAAGCAGAGTTAGATACTGAAGAGCCTGTTGCCTCCTTAGCTACAGAAAATCCAGACTTATTAGAAAGTATGGGCACAGCCATCAGTCCCAAATCAGTCCCAGATACAAATAACGGTGTGAAAGAGGATGAGAGAGAGAAGTCAGCCTTCTTTTCCAGTCCAACTCCATCCCCCAGCCAGATTATTCCAGAGATCAAGTTAGGTTTCAATAAAGCTGAGCTCATAACCTCCTCAAAGTCAGTGGTCTCCAGCCCTGAAGAACCCATCTTCATGCGTTTAACGTCATCTTCCAAAGAAAAGGGGCAGAGCCCTGCTTTCCAGACCTCCCTCTCAGGTAAGGTAATTGTGGAGTCTGACCTGGCATGGACATGCAGGCGTTGAGTGATCCCCAAGCATGGAGCACACTTGGGAGGAGCCAGTATCAGACTGGTCCTTTGGATCCTCGTCTTTGATGTGGCAACAACCCTTTTCCTCACTCTTTCCCCTAACGCTTAAAGGGTCTGTTTGGATGCCTGGTTTGTGAAGCATGGATTTGTTTACAGCCTGCTCCTCACTAACACCCACCGGCTGTGCCGTGTCTCCGTTGGATCTGTGTGCTGCTGCCTTGCACCTCGTGGTGTCGTCGCGCACATCCCTGACAGATCCCTGCATGAATGGGAGTTTCTCTTTTGCTCACGTCTTCCCCTCTAACTGTGCTGTTTTTTTCTTTTCTGCCAGCAGATGCCTCGAATGCTGAAGAGCTGGAGACAAACTCAGACCATGAAGGCAAGCAGCAGCCCACAGCTGGAGCTCCCAGCACCCACAGGGGCCTTTTGCTCCTCCTCCTGCCCTGTGTCATCCTGGTGGGCCTTCTGCTTTGAACAGACTTTCTCAGCTGTCCCTGCACCGGTCGCCAAGGCTTTCTTCAGCATGGTTGTCCCACCACCCTGGTAGGCTTGGGAGACACCACGGGCAGTTCAGGTTGACTCACTCTCTTCTTCCTCTGGCTCACCCGCTCCAGCCCTGCTGTGCCGAGGGCTACTGGCCATCACATGGGCACTCAGTGCCCTTCCTGAGACAGCCCAGGGGCAGAAGGGTGTCTGCCATCACACTAGTGAACTTGGGTACCAATACTTCTCCCTTCTTCCCAGCCAGCCTGGGCTTCTGCTCTGTTTCCAATAGCAGACGATAAGCTCTCGTTGCCCTGTGTGGCCGGCAGGTCCTGCTGCACCACGTCCCGGGGAAAGCAGAATGCCCTGGAAACCCAAGTGGCAATGGGACATGGAGGTTGGCTTTGGTATTTGTTTGGAGGCAAGACACGATCGTTGCGTCTGATGTCTGTGTATCAGGATGGATTTCTACCAGAAATGCTCTCTTTCTCTCCTCGTGTGTCTGTTTGTCTCAGTTTTGGAGAAGTGTCCCCTCTTCCTTCCCTGTCCAAAAATGGCATTTTTGTCCACAGAAGAGGTTTGTGTTTCCTACTTCTGGGTAGAGCTATGGCCAGTGTCTAGACATACTCCTTCTCCTGCCATCCCTCTGCAGTCTTTACCTCCTTCCTCACTTCTGCTCCAACAGTTACTCCGTTGCCATGCCTTTATTGGACGCGTGTGCCTGCACGTGTGTGCCTGCACAGAAGAAAAACCTCCAGCACAGGAGAGGAGTTACTGCTCCTTTCTTCTGCACGGCTTCCCTCTTTGCAGAATTTAAGTGTACGACGTATTTGCAGTTAGATCCAGATCCTGGTGGATGTATATATGTGGGTCCAGGAGGAAAAATAATCAGGTCTGCTGGTGCAGTTTCAGCTTGAGAGAGCCAAGTGAATGACGTTAGAGGGTACCGGTGCTTCCAGGACTTGTTGCAGGATGGCTTTCATTCTCTGGAGCACTGTGTGTTGTATTCCTCCATGTTTCTGCTCTGTTCACCTGAAGATTCCCAGCAGGGGGTGTTAAATGTGGGGCAAGTTTTGCAGCCCAGCAGAAGGGACGAGGAGATCCAGTCCTTCTCTGGTTGCTGCATTCTTTGGTTTATTAAACAGATGAGGTGGAGATAAGTCCAATGTCTGAGTCCTCCTCCTGATGCTGTGTGCATCTCCAGAGCATGCACTGAATAAATCCTGTTCTGAAAGTCTGCTGTGGGGCACATGGTTTCTTTTGGGGATCTCCAGAAGTCGGCTTGTATCTGAAAAACAATCCTGGTTGTGCATTTAAGTAGAATGGCTGCAAATCACCCTGGCTCCTTCCGAGTGCTGAATGTTGTTATTGTTTTTTGGCTTCTCGACAGCAATGGGTGCTGGGTTCTGCAGGATTGCAGCTTTTTTATCTTCTGGAACTCAATGATCTTTAAGGTCCCCTCCAACCTAAACCATGATTCTATGGTTTATGTTTTTAGCCCAATTAAAAGCAGGAGGAGGAGGACGTTCAGCACGATAGGGAATAGAGAATCCCTATTATTTGTAGGGAATATTCCATCAGCTGGGTGCTGAGCAAAAATGTGTCTCCAGCAGGAATTTGTGGGCAAGGAAAGCAAGATGAAGGGAGCTCAGAGCAAAAAGAAACCAAGATGAAATTAATGCTGGAGTGCTTCTGGTTCCCTGCTACGAGGCCGAGCAGCCTCCTCCCACCCCAGCACGTCTTCATCTGTGCGGCAATGGAAGAAGCTGAATGCAGTGTCCTCCTCTGTCCCTTCCCCACTGAACATCACAGCACCAGCACTGCAAGGGGTGAACCCACAGCACAGGAATGATGCTGACGTTGGACCTTTGCTTGTTGCTTTGAGGCTGCTCTGTGCTTCCCCTCTCCCTGTGGTTCTGCTGCAGGAGCACAGCAGCGCGGCTCCCTGATAGGAAGCAGCTGCCCGTGGGGTGTTTTTAGGTCACGGTCACTGCTAACCCTGCTGAATGGTGACCAGCAGATGGCAGTGGGACAGGCACTGCGGAGCAGTGAGCAGCACTGACCTCACTGTACAGCGCTCTATTTAATCACAAGCATCAGGTGTAGTGAAGAATCAGATTTTAAAATAATTTCTCAGAAGGGTTGTTGTGTGGCTGAGCTCCTGCAAGCTGCAAGGGGAAAAGCACCCAGCATGGAGCTGCTGACAAGTGACAGAAGTACAGCCAGAGCGGCTGTTGTTCACCTATTGCAAGGGTCTGCAGCCCTACCAGGGGTAAAGCAGGGACAGAGCTGGGATGGCACTTCAGGGCTGCAACTGTTTGCCCACCCTGGTGAAGGAGAACGTATCATTAATTCCCTACCAATGATTAAAAGAGCAGAAAAGTGTTTCTCCTCCCAGCGAAATGAGAGCACTTGGTCAACATCGGATTTGTTTTGCAGTGTTGGGTGCTTCCCCCTCTCCTACCTCAATAACCACCGTGGGGCTCAGAGCAGCAGTAACAGAGTTTGATGAGCCCATGCAAAGCATTCCAGAGGTGGTTTTTTTTTTTAAGTATTTCATCTTTTTTTTATGGTTGAGTTTTCTTTTCCCGAAAGTTTTGACGCTTGCAGTCACAGAATGGTGCAAGCACTATTTATAGAGTTCCTTGCAGCAGCAAATTCAAAACTAGAAGGCAGATTCTCCTTCCTCTTCCCCCTGTGCCCTGGGACAGCGGGGCTGAGCGCTGCCAGGGTGGGGATGTGGAGTGGTTTGGTTTAGTCCCAAACCAGGAGGATTTAGGGATGGAGGGAGGGCAGCTGCGTGGCAAACATGGATCGAGAGTATGGCTGGTAAACAGGGAAGGGCATGGAACATCCAAGGGAACTTGTGAAGCATTTCCAGCTCTGTTTCTGGGGACGGCCTGAAGGATGCTATGATTCTATGATTCTATGATGCTCAGCCACTGAAGTGAGTTGGTGGGAGATTCCTGGAAGGAAAGGAGCCTGGCAAAGCTGCTGCAAGAGTCTGGGGACCCTTGAGAGAGGAGGAGGTTTCCATGCGGCCACTCCTTCCCTGGCATGGAGGATCCCTGCTGGATGGGGCCTTGCTGCCTCTGTGGAGTTCTGTCACATTTCCCATCCTGGGCCCAGGACGGTGCCTGCTGACAGCAGGACCTGCAGCCTGGGCTGCTCAGCCAACCCCACGTCCCCTTGTCATGTCCTGGTTTCCCCTTTGGGCTCAGGGCTTTGGTCACGTGCAGGGTTTGCTGGGTGACACACAGTCAGGAGCACCAGCCAACCCTGGCCCCAGCTCATCAGCCATGCTTGCTTCAAGGCAGTAAAAGACACTATTAAAAATATATGTAATACAATAATCAAAGCAAGTTTATTTTCACAGAAGAGTATCTCTAGTGGTATTTTACTCATGGTTTTCATCTCATACCGTTTTGCTGCTTAAAATTCTTTGCGTTAACATCAGTGCAGTGGATGGGGAGTGAACCGATTTTGTTCGGGACCCACAGGATTAATCCTTTTCCAGGGGACACCCCTTAAACACCAAGCTGATGCGCTGCCCTGTTCCCATAGTCATGCTGCTGTTTTGGTACCTTCCGAGCAATGCTGGGGGTAGAAGCCCTGCCCCTGAGGAGGTACATAGGGATAAGAATGTGCAGAAGAGAAGCGAGCTGTAGCTTTGTGTGACAGGTTCCCATGACTCCTGGAAAGCCAGATGTATGGAGCAGAGGGCTGCATTCCTCTGCTGCTAGATACTCCAGCATCCCCACCCTCCAGCTGCTGCCCAGCCTGAGGAAGTCCCATCCCAGCCTTGCTGAAGCTACGCCCTATCCCAAGCAGCAGAGGAGCCTTAAATGAGCTGCTTCACTGATGGCAGTCCCACAGCCAAAGCAGCCAGCTCTGAGTTGCCCCACGTTTCACTTCCAGGGTGAAACTTGAGGGCTCCAATTTCTTACTGCAGCTCTCTTCCTCCCGATTCATCTGAGAAGGTGCCCTTGGTTTGCCCTTGCTCCTCAGTGTCTCAGATCTCATGCGTTTCCCTGGCAGTGAGATGCTGCTGATAATGTCCTGAGACATCCTTCAGTCTTGAGAAACTGGTGCAGCCCTCATCGAGTTACAGTCCCTCCTGTGATCTGGATTCTATTTACTCTGGAATGTGGCGGAGGGGTTGTCCCAGCTGCTTCTCACCAAGGGAAGAAATAACCATTCTCTGTCCCTTGTCAAGTGCCAGAGCTCTGAAGCAGGCTGTCATCTCCTGCATCTGCTGTCAGATGTCAGTGCCACCTACCTGGCAGGAACAAGAGGGATCAGGACTTGCTGCCTTTGGCTCATCTCTCTTTCTCACCTGTTTCCTGAGGAGGACGGGGCACTGGTCTGAATTGTTGGCTTATTTTATGTAAATACATTGGAGCCCAAATGTCTCCAGCAGGGTTTGCGTATGAGTTGGGTTGATAGAGATTATCAAATCAGAAAGAACCAACCTCTAACTCTGTCCCATGGGACAGCTGGGAACTTGTCCAAAACCAGAATGGACTTTCAGGGGTCAACCAGCCAAAATCTGATCAGCTCACGGGGCTTTGAGTTTTTGGCTAAGCCAGCTCATTTCATTGTTTCTCTTGCAGCCATTAAAAATGAGAGATACATTTTTCTTTATGTGGATATTTGGTAGTTATCCCCTGGAATGACACAATCCTGGATGCTGCAGAAGAGCCACTGTGTTGTTCAATGGTGCCGTGTGCCGTTTTTGCTCCAGGAGCTCTGTGGCTGAGCATCTCCTCTGGTGGTATTGCTGCTCTTTAAGGAAGGCAATAGACTGTATAGTTATCACCTGAAATGGGATAGAATCCCTCCCACCAAACTATACAACCTACTACCTCACCTCCACAGAGCAGTACAGAGGTCTGCTGTGATTCCCTGCTTTGTGGAGGAGCAGGATTCCTTGCACCACCTTTCTCCACGCTTTGTGTCGAAGCAGACGAGCTGAAGATCTGACTGTCTCCTTAGGAAAGACAGTAGATTGTATAGTTAGCTCAAAGGGAGGATAAGACTCCACAACTATTCAATCTACTACCTCAGCCTCAAGGACAGCTTGGGACCATTGCCATCCAGGGCAGTGAGATGATCCTCACCCAGGTACTGACTGCTCAGTGGTTCCTGTGAAGAGAAACGCATAAGAATCCATCAGACTTTGTGCTGCTGAAAGAAGCAAGTCTCACACTCAGCCTTGTCGTGGAGCTCCCTTTCCTCCTTATAGCTCCTTCAGTCCACTTGGACTATAATATATCCTTGAAAATCTTGCTGGTTGCAAACTTCATGCACTCATGGAAGCAGCAGATTGAGCCCAGGACCATGCACACAGCAAGCACAGCCTGCCCGAAGCTGCAGCAGCACCAAATAATATACAGGCAAGCTGACCTCACCTCTTGAACACACAGCATATCTAGAGCAAACCTGCCAGACTAGATAAAATAATCTATCAATTTAGCTGTTATGCACTCCAGGGAACTGAGCAGATTAGAAATAACTGAGTACAAGGAAGCTTTTAGGCCGTGCATGTAATGGTATTGAGTATATCAAGGCAGATCTCATTTCCCAAACAAATGAGAGCAACATGCAGGTCTTTTAATGCTATAGCACAGCCAGGCACTATTGGCGGGGAGCAGAGACAGGCTGGCTTCCCCCCAAGCCCTTGGCTCACCTTCTGAGCCTTTTTCATTCTCTGTACACCTAACTGCAGATGCAAGGTATTACGCTGGCAGTTTAGAAGATGTGTGTGGTTCTCTTGAGATGAGAAAGATTTTCCCTTCAAGATTAAAGGAGGATCTAAGGAAAAGGGAGTCACCAGCAGCACATGAAGGGGCTGCATGTGCAACGCAGCAAAGACCCAAAGGACTTCCCAAAAGAACTCAGTGCTGTGAAGCAGGAGGGGTCCCATCTGCCCACGGCTGGATGGGAGATGCATGGACTAAGGCATACATCACCAAAGGGACAGAGGATGCCTAATGAATTGCGTTTCCACAGCTAACAGGCAGCAGAGTGCATGAGTGAGATACCCAAAGCTCTGGTCAGCTGTTGTAGCTGGGCTCCCCAAGGTGAGAGTTTAAGATGGGCAGGAAAAAGGATATCTGTGCAGCAAGGCTTGGACAGTGCTCACATTCCTTCGCCAAGCTCTCCAGAAATGCTTCTCAACTAACAGTCAGCACAGCCCAGTTAATTCTTTTAATTTCCTTTGACAAACTCAGC